TGCTCTCTCTGGTACTGCGCCCACTGCGGTCTCGCACACCTTCACCCTTGACTCAGGAGCTTCCCGCTCCTTCTTTCGCGACTGCACCACACTCACGCCACTTAGTCGGCCAGTTCCAGTCTCCCTGGCGGACCCCTCCGGGGGTCCAGTCCTTGCCCACTACTCCACAGTTCTGCCGTGTCCGGCCGCCCCGTCCGGCTCGCTGTCAGGTCTTTACCTCCCCTCGTTCTCTACGAACTTGGTGAGTGGAGCTGACCTCCAGGATCGGGGGGTTGACCAGTTCACTCCTGCGAGTCAGCGAGTGACTCACTGTACGTGTGCTAGGACGGGCCGGCACTTGGCCACGTTCACCCGTGCACCTGGCTCGAGTCTGTACACACTGACCACTGAGTCCCCTCAGGTAGCTGCGTCTGCGTCTACGTCTGGTCAGCTGGCGGCCCCCTGCGAGTGTCGCGCTTTGTCGCACGACACTCTCCTGTGGCACCACCGCCTTGGTCACCCCTCCTTGCCTCGCCTGCGTAGCATGTACTCTCGCTCCCTGGTCTCTGGTCTTCCCAGGTCTCTGCCTGCCCTCCCTCCCTCGCCTGCGCCGCCCTGCATTCCTTGCGTCGAGGGGCGGCAGCGCGCCGCTCCTCACTCCTCCTCGTTTCCTCCCATAGAGGCTCCACTGCAGATGCTCCACCTGGACGTGTGGGGCCCAGCCCGCGTCCAGGGACAGGGCCGCGAGCGGTACTTCCTGCTGGTTGTCGACGACTACACGCGTTACACCACGGTCTTCCCCTTGCAGAGCAAGGGGGACGTCCCTGATGTTTTGATCCCTTGGATCCGCGCTGTTCGTCTCCAGCTCCGCGAGCGGTTCCGGCGGGACTTTCCTGTCCTGCGTCTGCACTCTGACAGAGGTGGTGAGTTCTCCTCTGACCTCTTGGCAGCCTACTGTGCGGAGCACGGCATCACCCAGTCGTTCACGCTTCCGGCCTCTCCACAGCAGAATGGGGTTGCTGAGCGCCGCATTGGCTTAGTCATGGAGGTCGCTCGTACCTCCATGATCCATGCGGCTGCCCCCCATTTCCTGTGGCCGTTTGCGGTCCGGTACGCCGCGCATCAGCTCAACCTCTGGCCCCGTGTCTCCTTGCCGGAGACCTCGCCCACACTGCTGTGGACGGGGAAGGTTGGCGATGCGTCGCGTTTCCGGGTCTGGGGTGCTCGTGCCTTTGTCCGCGATACCACCGCGGACAAGCTCTCCGCTCGCGCTGTTCCCTGTGTCTTCCTTGGTTTTGTCCCTGACGCGCCTGGTTGGCAGTTTTACCACCCCACCTCGTGCCGTGTCTTTGCGTCTCAGGACGTCACGTTCGACAAGTCGGTTCCCTTTTACCGTCTCTTCCCCTACCGCACTGCCCCGCTCCCCCCCCCCGCCGCTCTTCCTCGCTCCAGGTGCTCCCCAGGTAGACCCCCTCCCCGCTCCCGGTCCTGCTCCTTCAGGTGTTTCTCAGGTAGACCCTCCTCCCTTGACTGCGCCGGTTGAGGTCACTGGTGACTCAGGTCCTACTGAGGGTGGTCCTGCTCGGGGTGCTACTTCTGGGGGTGCTGAGCCTGGGAGTGCGGAGCCTGGGGGTGCTGAGCCTGGGGGTACTGAGCCTGAGGGTGCGGAGCTTGAGGGTGTGGAGCCTGGTGGTGCTGAGCCTGAGTGTGAGGGGTCTGGGGGTGCTGAGCTTGGCGGTACTGACGCTGGAGGTTCTGGAGCTACTGAGGGTGCTGGCGCTGGAGGTTCGGGAGCTGCTGGAGGGCCTAGTACTGGTGACGCTGGAGCTGGAGGTTCTGGAGCTGCTGAGGGTGCTCGCGCTGGAGGTTCTGGAGCCGCTGGAGGTACTGGTGCTGAGGGTACTGACACCGGAGGTTCTGGAGCCGTTGGGGGTGCGGGCGCTGAGGGTTCTGAGTCTGCTGTTGCGCGGTCTCCTTGGAGTAGCCGCCTTCGTCCACGTGTGCCTCTCACCCCACAGCAGCTGCAGGACTGGTACGGTCGTCGTCAGCGTCGCGCTGCTGGAGCTAGGAGTGGTGCTGGTCCTTTGTCTACTGGAGGTGCTGGAGTCGCTGGTTCTGGAGGTGCTCGTGCTGGAGACGCTGAGGCTGGAGACCCTGGGACTGGAGGTGCTGGCTCTGGGGGTGCTGCTGCTGGAGACACTGAGGCTAGAGACCCTGGGACTGGAGGTGCTGGTTCTGGGGGTGCTGCTGCTGGAGACACAGAGGTTGGAGACCCTGGGACTGGAGGTGTCGGCTCTGGGACTGGAGCTTCTGGAGCTGTTGGAGGTACTGGAGCTGCTGGAGGTACTGGAGCTGCTGGAGGCACTGGAGCTGCTGGAGCTGCCGGTACTGGTGCAGCTGCGCCGACACGACTGTTCTTCGCTCTGCCGTCTCCGTCGTCTCTGCCGCCGCCTGACTCTGTGCTTCGCCAGGTTCTTAGTCTCCCTTCGTCTACTGGTCTTCCGTTACAGCCTGGCTCACCGCTGCCTGCTCCTTCTCCTTACACTGAGCAGACTGGTAGTCCTGCTGAGCGTCGTGAACCTGCTTCGCGTCCTGTTTCGCCTGTTCGTCCTGGTCGTACCGGTCGTCGTGTTCCTCGTTCGCGTCAGCCGGCTGTCCCCAGCGCACACCTCGTAGTCCGTCGTCCTTCCTCTGCTCCGCAGCTTGTTCCTCTGCCGTCTCCTCCTGCGTCCTCTCTGCCTGCCGTTCCGGACCCTGAGTCTGACCGGTTTCGTGCTGAGCACCCTACTGTCACGCGTCTCCTAGCCACTATTGTCACTGACCCGTCGTTTGAGTCTACTGCTGCGTCTGCTCTTGTCGCTGAGCTTGTTGACTTTGCTACTGCCTGTCGTCTAGACTTCGCTGCCAGTCTTGTTGCTGAGTCTGAGTCTGTCTGTCCTCCGTTCGTCGGGGGTGAGTGTGCTCTTAGCACGGACGTCCTTGAGGACAGGCAGGAGGAGTTCCAGTGTCTTGCTGCTGCTTTACCTCATCTTGTGTCCTCGCTACTTGCCCTTGAGGGAGACCCGGATGCACCAGACATCCCGACTCCGCGCTCTTACGCAGAGGCGATAGAGGGTCCCTACTCCTCTCAGTGGCAGGCAGCCATGGACGCAGAGATGGCTTCCTGGAAGTCCACACGCACCTACGTTGACGAGGTTCCCCCACCTGGGGCGAACATCGTCAGTGGCATATGGATTTTCAGGGTGAAGCGGCCGCCGGGTTCTCCGCCTGTCTTCAAGGCGCGTTACGTGGCTCGAGGCTTCAGTCAGCGAGAGGGAGTTGACTTCTTCCAGACCTTCTCCCCCACCCCGAAGATGACCACTCTTCGGGTGCTGCTGCACGTTGCTGCTCACCGTGACTACGAGCTTCACTCTCTTGACTTCAGCACAGCTTTCTTGCAGGGCAGTCTGCACGAGGAGATCTGGCTGCGCCGCCCACCTGGCTTCATTGGGTCGTTTCCTCCTGGTACCCAATGGAGCCTCCGGCGGCCGGTCTACGGTCTCCGCCAGGCGCCACGTGAGTGGCACGACACACTGAGGACTACGCTTGCGGCTCTTGGGTTCGCGCCTTCTACTGCTGACCCGTCGTTGTTTCTGCGCACCGACACTTCCCTGCCGCCGTTCTACATCCTCGTGTACGTCGACGACTTGGTTTTTGCCACTGCTGACACTGAGGCTCTTGCCCACGTGAAGTCGGAGCTGCAGAAGAGACACGCGTGCACAGACTTGGGTGAGCTGCGCAGCTACCTTGGCTTGCAGATCACCCGAGACAGAGCACGTCGCACCATCACCTTGACTCAGTCACACGTGGTGCAGCAGGTCCTTCAGCGCTTCGGCTTCACCTGGTCTTCAGCACAGGCCACTCCTCTGGCTACAGGTCACTCGCTCTCAGCTCCACCTTCGGACGAGTCCGTAGAGCCGAGTGGTCCTTACCCAGAGCTAGTCGGCTGCCTCATGTACCTGATGACTTGCACTCGACCTGACCTCGCGTACCCTCTTGGTCTTCTGGCTCGCTACGTGGCTCCTGGTCGGCACCGACCTGAGCACATGGCTGCTGCTAAGAGGGTACTGCGCTACTTGTGCAGCACATCAGGCATGGGGCTAGTGCTTGGAGGGACGAGCCCAGTTGTCCTCACTGGGCACTCAGACGCTTCTTGGGTTGATGACCAGGCTACTCAGCGGTCGTCACAGGGTTACACCTTCAGCCTTGGCTCTGGCTCTGTTTCTTGGCGGTCTACACGCTCGTCTTCTGTTCTCAGCTCCAGTTGTGAGGCTGAGATCTACGCCACAGCCATGGCTGCACAGGAGTTACGCTGGCTCACCTACCTGCTGACTGACTTGGGAGAGCAGCCTCGTTCTCCTCCAGTGCTGTACGTAGACAACAAGGCCGCCATTGCCTTGTGTGAGGAGCACAGACTGGAGCACAGAACGAAGCACATTGCTCTGCGTTACTTCCTGGCTCGAGAGTTGCAGCAGCGAGGCCCTTTGCTTGTGCTCGTGGTGACGTTGTGATCCACCCTGAGCTTGTTTTGCTTCTCTTGACTGGTCGTGTGACCTCTTGTTCTCCCCCACTTTGCCTAAGGGGGTGTGTCAAACTACGTGTGCTGCATATTGTCTAGGCTGTAGTGGGGTAGCCCATATGGGGTACAACCCAATTAGGGTTTACTACTTGTACTCCTGCATCCTGTTAGTTCACTCATTCCTGCTGCTAGATTCTGACAGCTTTCGCCACGCCCATATTCCCGAAAAGAACCCTTTTACCTTTCGCCAACACAATAAAACCCTTCAGTATTTTTGGCAAAAACCATGCTGACCTCGGGCTTTAAAAGACCAGAGCGGTGAATTATTGTGATGCATGCCATTCATTTACTCCTTTCATCCTCAACTTTCTTCAACCAACCCCCCAACAAAATTGTTGATCACCCCTAGTTCGTCAGGAAACAAAATTTCTGTCGTCGATCGCAGCACAGCACGACAGTAGCCATGGCACTTAGAGCGCTCGTTCTCTCGTGCATCCTCCTCCTCGTGTCGACTTCCGCCTTGGCGCAGCGTGGTCCGCCAGGCGGAGGTCCTCCCGGCGCCAATCAGGGAGCGGGGAGCGCGCGCGGAGGCCCTGGCACCGGGACCGGCGGTCCTGGCGGGGCTGGCGGAAAACCGCCGCACGCGCCTCCGCTGAACCTGACGGCCATCGGGAATTTGACGGCCGATGTCGGCGCGCGACTCGCCAACTGCACCGCTGATCAGACGATTGTTGACGGCCGCTTCCACCTCGCCATCTTCAAGTAGGCTTCAATGCCTTCATTTCTCTCGGCTAGCATCGCCAGAAAACCCGAAATCGATGTGCGCTTCCCTCGTCCATTACCATTCGGTATGGGGCTTGGTGTCAGGATTGGCTTCCGCACGAATCCCTCCATTGGCTTGGTAGAGTGAGCGGCACTCAGCGTCTTCTGATCGTTGCGCTCATTGCGTCTTGCCCTCATCCTCCCCTCCGCACTTCCTTCCCCTCCCTCCCGGTCATCCCCGCGCGCTCTCCAGGAACGCCACCGGCAATTACAACCTCCTCGTCGAGGCGCTCCTCGTCGACGCGGCGGGCAGTCCGCCGGACTCGCTTGCGATCGTGCAGGGTGCCGTGTGCGACGCCGCTGCGACGGACGTCCTCGCGCTGCCGCTCGCCGCGGCGGACTGGCAGCAGCGCGCGGGGTGGTGGCTGCTGCACGCGGAGGCGCGCCTCGACGCGTTCCTCGAGAACGCGGACGCCGCCACCGTCGACGCGCTGCTCGCGGTTCTCCCCAACGCCTCGCTTCCGCGCAAGAACGGCGGCGGGCGCAATGGCGGAGGCAGCGCGGGGGGCGCGCAGAGCGGTCAGGGTGGGAGGCGCATGGGGCGAGAGCTGCTGATGCACGCAGTGGGCCGCGTTGCCAAGCAGGGGGGGCAGCAGCAGGGGGGTGCGCAACAGGGGGGTGCGCAGCAGGGGGGTGCGCAGCAGGGGGGTGCGCAGCAGCCGCCTGCAGGAGGCTTTTCAGGTGGTGATGGCGGAGTGAACAACACAGTGAGCGGGTATGCTGTGCTGGCGGGCAGCAGCGCAGCAGGTGTGACGTGGGGCGGGCAGCTCATGGGGGCCAAGGTTCCTGCTGCTGCTGTTTAGTGCATCACTATTGCACTGCTGTTGCTTGATAGAAAATGACTGGCAAAGTTTACGGAGTTCTTGACACAGGGTGACAATGCTGCTGCTTGATATGGTGAGGACTACGGCATCATAGTCATACCAGACTTTGGGAGATGGAGGTCGGTGTGGTGGAACACTGCCTAGAAAGACCAGAGCTGCAGCAGTCATGGTAAATACCTAGAAAGCTTTGCATCTTCATGTTGAAGTAGCAAAATCAAGTGAAAGCATCAGGGGTAGGAATGCTGGCAGGTTGGTGTGAGGGAGGTAGCTGACTTGCCAGTCTTCCTACCCCCAATGATTCATGATCAAAGTCTACCTTCACGGATCATCCAGAGCTCTGCGTCAATTTTATTGACGGGTTTTTTATGTTAAGTTACCGGTAATGATGTCCTTTTGCATAACTGTATTGCTTGCTAGACAGTCAAGAACGGTCTATTTTCAATCCATACAAATCTTGAAGCCCACGAGGTTCCAGGACTTCGTCCCACCCAGGGCACACACGCTTGTTGCAGTTTCCAACACTCAATGATCGCAGCATCTTCAGCTGCGAGAGATCCTCTGGCAGACACTCCAGCCGCACACAGCCACGCACACTAAGACTGCGCAGCCGGGTCAGTTGGGCAAACCCTGAGGGCAGGCAGCGCAGGCCGCTGTTCTCCACATGCAGCTGGTGGAGGCATGCAAGGTGGGTGAGGGAAGCGGGCAGGTGGTGCAGGGCGGGGCAGTCAAAGAGGTGCAGCTGGCGCAGGCGGGATGCAGCGCCAATGCTGTCCGGCAGCTCCCTCAATTCCCGCGCACAGTGGATCTGCACAACCCTCAGCTGCGCCACAGCCCATCCCATGTCGCTTGGAAGCCGCTGCATCTTCCCCGCGTTCCAGATGACCAGCGTGTGCAGCTGGGGGAGCAGCGCAAGGGACAAGGGCAGCTCCACAGCCTCCTCCTGCAGCGCCACCTCCAGCTGCTTCACGCGCGCCAAGCTGCTGCCCACAGCCATCCTCTCCTGCGCTCCAACCAGCTTCAAGGAGAGCTTTCTCAGCCAAGGCAGCACGGAGACGTCTGGCAGATCAGCCACGTGGTAGCTGTTTCCAAGACTCAAGACCTCGAGGGAGATCGGCAGACACACAGGAGGTTGAGTCTGATCGGGGCAGCCAGTCAGCTCCAGCCATTTGAGCCTCCCGAGGCCATCGAGCCTCCTGGGAATCGAGGTGAGCTTCAAACAGTCATCAACCGTAAGGGTTTCAAGGCTTGAGAGGCTTGTGAGGGACTCTGGAAGCCGCTGAATCCGGGGGCAGGAACGAATGTGCAACTCCTGCAGGTTAGTGAGGTTCCCCAAGTCCTCGGGAAGCTCTTGAATCGTGCACAGGGCCAGTTCAAGCCTGGTCAACGAAGTCAACTGGGTGAAGGAGAGCGGCAGTCGCGGCTGCTGGGTCTGACCGTTCAAATACAGCGTGTGCAGCCTTGAGAGCTCTCCTATGTTCTCTGGAAGCTTCACCCGCGGCATCCTCAGAATGGCGAGGGTTTGGAGCGACGTGAGGCAGCAGAACGCTTCAGGCAGCTGGAGGAGGTGCGGGCTGGTGGTGCATTCGACGAGGACAAATGTCTCGAGGGAGGGCAGGTGGCAGAGGGCGTCCGGGAGGGACACGAGAGGCAGCCTGTGCAGCACGAGGGTCTTGAGGGCATGCAGGCATCCGATATCGTCCGGCAGGTCGTAATAAGCCAGATTATCGCGTCTCTGGTAACACTCAGTAAGGGTCAAGCTCTCCAAGAGAGTTAGAGAAGCGAAGCTTAGAAAGATGGGCCTGGGGTCATAATGACTGAGTCTCTGGCGAATGGTCAGCTTGCGCAGCCTCGGCAGCAGCTCTGCGATTTGAAAGGTCGGCGTGTCGGAGTCAGGACGCTGCATAACAAGCTCGAGCCGTTCTAGGGCGGCACACGGGAGCACCTGCCTGAACCTTGACGACTTGAGCAGCGGCAGCTGTGCCATGTCGAAGTCTGCAGCGACCAGGGAATCGCGGTGAAATGCGACGGCTTCACCTGAGACTGAGAAGGTGGTGATGCGAGAGAGGCGAGCGATGTTTGCCACTTGTTCCAGGAGATGGTTGGACTCGTTGGAGGTGTGCAGGGTAGTGAGCGATGTCAGGCTGGCGAAGTCGGGAGTTTCGAGCGGTGAAGCGTTTGTGAGCGCGAGAGTGTGCAGATGCGGCAGCTGAAAGAAGGACGCGGGGAATTCGACACAACGGTCGAGGCAGTAAAGTGAAAGCTGCTCCAGCCGAGTGCAGTGCCGGAAAAAGAAGTCCAGGCCAGCGGTTGTTATGGGTTGCGCGTCCTTCTCGCATTTATCATAATACTCTTTACAATTCACAGGCGCGATTCTGCTTCCGACGTGGAGGATGGCGAGGTTGGGACATGACGACGCGAGGTGAGCGAGGAAGGCGTCGTCGAGAGTCTCGACGCTGCCGTCGCACAGGTGGAGATGGGTCAGGTTCGGTAAGGCAGCGACCGCACTCGCGAGAGCCTGGCGAGACACGACGAGATTGTCTCGGACGAGAAGCGCGGAGACGCAACGCTGAGTGAGACCGCGCCAGCGACGGCACACGGCCGCCACGAGGAGAATACGGTGCGCGTCCGCAGAGGGAGGAGGAATGGGTAACGGCGTCTTCTTCTCCTCACGAATGGTCTTCTCATATAATAGGTTTGCAGAGAGGTACTTCGGGGTGGGAATCGAGGAGTCTGAGTCCCACAAGCAGTCGCTGTCCGTTTGTCTAGGAATCGGCTGCTCAGCGTGCCAAAAGATCTTCGTAAGAATGTCGTCGGGAAGGTCATGGATGTGCGTGGGTGGCTCCATAATAGTTGAGGTGGGAGACTGATCACTGCGTTGAAACTATATAATTCAATGGATCAGACTGAAGATTGCAGGATTGTCGACAAACCGCACAGTAACAATCTTCCTGTTGTTTGAGCAGAAACGAGAAGCAATACAAGCAATGGCACCATTGTCCATGGCTGACTGCATGGCTGGCTGCATGGCTGACTGCATCGCTGACCTTTTCGTAGCTGGTGGCATTGGCCGTGGATGACACTCGACGGAAAAGGGAAGTGGGGTGGGATGAGCTCACCCTACAGAGAACCGCTGACGTGGAGATCACGGCGTTCGCCGAACCAGGCGGTCAGGCACACCCAGGCGCCGAACAAATTTGGCCCAGGTTCGGACGACCAACTGAGCACCAAACCAGACCAAATTCGGTACTCAGGGAGTTTCCCTGTAAGGAATTTTCTCGCCAATCCTTACAGAGACCTGCTGCATAGCGTACAGCAACAGCCATTGTTCGCCCTTTACTACTAACGGGGGCTTCGCCAACTTTGCCCGCACTATTTTGCCAAACCACGCACTGCTGACCTGGTCGTTTCGGCCTGCGCTTCGGACTAGCCCGAACCTCGCTGCCAGCGTAGCACTAGCTAGCTCGCACGCACCGCGTTACCGTTTGCACGTTTCGTTTTGACACTTAGTGCAATCCTCGCTACCTCGATCCATTGCACCCGTAACACTCCCCAACTATTACAGTTCTCGCTACACCCAACGCTTAGTGTAAGGAATTACGCCTAATTCCTTATTAAGGCACTATACGTGTACAACTCCAATTTTCGAAGTCTAAGCTCGCCTTACGAACGTCCCTCGCGTCGCCTTAGGGTTTCCCAAATCCAAACCTGCACCCAACCTTGTGTGGCCCCGCGACCTCGGCCTAGCTAGCCTTAGCTATATCTGTGCTAGGTCTCATTACTTGCTCAGTAATTGTAATTACTTTCGCAATATTGTATTCTGCGCAATCCTTCTTCTTACAACGCATAACACTTGGTATCAGAGTTGCTTTCATATGTTACCCTCACGTTTTTGGGGTAGTTTAGGAGAGGGATGCGATAACCCTGGATAAATGCGTCTAACCCTAAACCCTAGACGCATTTATGCAGGATCTTCGAGCGATGCGAGCCAACTTGCAGCCTATGTCTGGCGAGGTGGAGCGCCAGAGGGTGGAAAACGTCGAACTATGCCAGGCGCGAGGTAAAGCGCGCTAGGAGTCGTCTGTCGTGGACGAAGCAAGTAGCCGTTCACCGCTCGACAGCAACGTACTCAGCGAGCCACAGGGCTCCCTGGACGCTGAAGATGAGTGGATGGCACAGCAGCAACAGGCACAAGAAAGCCGAGAGCAACAACAACAGGCACGAGCGACGCCGAGACAACAGTCGCAAAGAATGCCAAGGCGGGCGCCAGCGACAACTCCGGCGATGACTTCGATGGCGCCAACAACGCGTGCAGTAGCAAGAGTTTTCACAATGTCAAATTAAAGCCGACAGACCCGCCTTCGTTCAGCCCCAGTGATAAAGGGGTCACTATGTCCACAATACTGTTCGGCATCGAGGTTTCCTTCAATGCTGCGCAAATTGTTGATGATGTCACCCGCATTAATTTTACAGTTTTGCTGTTACGAGGAGCAGCGTTGAAATGGTGGCGCCACACGCTTCTGTTAGAAGGGACTTCGACAGGGACATCACGTGCGAACGACATGACATGGACACCTGTCACGCAACGAGCAACCTGGATCTTCGGAGTGGCTACTTTACGCACACGAACGGAGTGGGGCGCAGCTTTGCGAACCAGATTCGAGCATGCGCCTCAATTTCTGCTCGCATGAAGCTGCGTGCCTGGAAGCAGGTGACATCGGTCCAAGACTACACGGCGACGTTCAGCGCCGTGGCCGACCAAGTGGACGACATGATTGACGCGGAGCGGCTTAATCGTTATGTCGCAGGCCTCAAATACGAGGTTCAGTGCGAGTTGCGACGTACAATGCCATGCGACTTCAACGATGTCGTCTAGTAGACCAAAACAACAGACGCGCTGACACGGTGGGTGAGAATGAGTTCTCGGGAGGGAAACAAACTTTGTGGACTATCTCGCCAGCCCACGATCAACGGTGTCGATACGTCAAGATGTGCCCCAAACACGTGCTTCAACTGCAACCAATTGGGGAACTAGAAGAAAGATTGCTAGAAGCTGAAACAGGGGAACAAGAATGACGGAGAGGGGTCGGGAAAAGAGACGAGTCAGTAGCAGTCGGGCCACCTACTGACGAGACCCCGTCGCCCGGCAATCACCATCCACACCGAGTAGTGGTTCCGATACGGGCTTTCGACAGCAACCGGACGAATAAAGTGGATGAACACGTGAATCACCCTGTGCTGGTCGTGAGGAGGGTTAACGGCTGTAAATTTTAAAAATATTCGTTGACGGTGGGGCGAGCCACAGTCTCGTCAACCTGGCAACGACCAAAAAAATCATAGTTAAGCTGGACAGGTGTCTACCGGAGATCCACGCGAGGCTAGTGGATGGGACATAACTAGCGATATGGAACGACGTGTGACAAATTCGGATGAAGTGTGGCGACGATTTCGGGTTTCCCATGAAGATGCCGGCGACAACACTGGACGAGTGCGATGTGCTACTGGGCAATATTGGCTGCAACGATACAATCTGCCAATCAACTGGATGACAAGATCTTGCACGGTGCTGAGCGATAAGGGACGTGTGACGCTTCCGAAATGGACGAAGCCGAAGCTGACGACTGTCAGAAATAACTGAGCAGGAATGAATAAACTAGCACAAAGTTTGGTACAAGTAGGAAACCCTAACTTTGTGTACCCCCTAAGGTGTAACCCACTACAGCCTACACAACATAAACATGCAATGTTTGACACACCCCCATAGGCGCAGTGGGAGACAACCACAGGGTCATGAGACCAGTCAAAGCAAAACAAAGCAAGCTCAGGGTGGATCTCAAGGATACCACACAAATTCCGAGCACAAGCTAGTGGTTACAAGACCAGTTCACATGCAGGTTGATAATATAACAAGAGATACAGCAATCACAACCTAGCAAGAGTACACATGCAGGTATATATATATAGAGATCACAGTACAAACAGAGTCAAGCAGTAAGCAAGTGAGGTCCAGCAGGCACAAGGCCTAGAAGAGTACAGAAACGCTGATGGTCACAAGGCTGAAGCGCCTTGGTGAACACATCAGCAGTGTTGGCCCGAGTGGCCACGTAACGCAGACGAAGCTGACCGCGCTGCTGCAGCTCTCGAGCAAGGACTGCTGGCAACCACTGAGCGACCAGATACACCATTGTTGTTCCTTGCGGTCTAGGATGGGTCGGAGGAGGTTGATCCCGCCTCTCCCTCCATACCCTCCTCGTCATCCTCCTCTCCTTCAATTCCCATCCTAAACCCCAGCCGGACCCGACGACGCCGTCGGCGCAGAGCGATGTGCTTCGTTCTGTGCTCCAGTCTGTGCTCCTCACACAAGGCAATGGCAGCCTTGTTGTCGACGTACAGCACTGGAGGAGAACGAGGCCGCTCTCCCAAGTCGGTCAGCAGGTAGGTCAGCCAGCGTAGCTCCTGGGCCGCCATGGCTGTGGCGTAGATCTCAGCCTCACAACTGGAGCTGAGAACAGAAGAAGAGCGTGTAGAACGCCAAGAAACTGAACCAGAGCCAAGACTGAAGGTGTAACCCTGAGACGACCGCTGAGTAGCCTGGTCGTCCGCCCAAGAAGCGTCTGAGTGTCCAGTGAGTACAACCCGGTCTCGCCCTCCAAGCACTAGTCCCATGCCCGACGTACTGCACAAGTAGCGCAACACCCTCTTAGCGGCATCCATGTGCTCCTTCCTGTGACGGCCAAGAGCGACATAGCGTGCAAGGATGCTAAGAGGGTATGCAAGGTCAGGTCGAGTGCAGGTCATCAGGTACATGAGGCAGCCCACAAGCTCTGGATATGGGCCACTCGGCTCTACGGACTCATCCGAAGGCAAAGCTGAGAGCGAGTGACCGGTAGGCAGAGGAGTGGACTGAGGCGAGGAGTACGTGAAGCGGAAGCGCTGAAGGATCTGCTGCACCATGTGTGACTGAGTCAAGGTGATGGTGCGCCGTGC